GATGCTATCTAAGCAGTTCAATTTCAATACCCTTCCACTGTGTTATGGTTAAGGGCTAGGTAGGACCCAATGTGCAGACACACGAGGCAAGCAAAGGTTCAAGTAGGCCTTATTAAATAGTAGAGAACGAGACTAAAGGGGAAAAACACATAGGCTCATCCTGACAGGGAGAAACAAAGAATTCCAAAATGCTAAACTAAACAGTAGGTCAGGGAGCAGGGTAAGAAATTAAAGCAAGAGTGGGGAAACTAACAAAAGAACAGCTAGAGAGTACAGTATATAGGCTAAGCGTAAATGTGCTGAGGATGGTGTGAGCATACTCAAAGTTACTTTTAACAGTCAGCAGTAGCAGTCATGGTTGTACTGGCCTTTACATGGTATGTTTTATGAACATTGAAGTTATTTCAAATCATAAACATTTTAGTGTTTTTGTTAACAGTGTAACAGTGTCCCTCCGGGAGAAGGCCTGTGTGGGGAGAGGGAAGTCTGGGAGGCTCTGCTCGGACTACTGCCCCCACGACCCGGTCTCGGATAAAGCGGGCGAAGATGGATGGATGGATGGTTAGCAGTGTAAGGACCTATTGTGCAGTTTATAAAAAGCTCTATTCTTGCACAAATAATATATTTAATTTTTTTGTTTATTAATGCACTGCATAGAAACATTGTGGAAGCATTGTTTAAATAAATGTTTTTATTTTCATTATGTCAAATTTAATCTAGCCACAGGGGTTGCAAGCCAGTGACTTCTGTGCCGGTCCCAAGCCCGGATAAATAGAGAGGGTTGCATCAGGAAGGGTATCCGTCATAAAAACATGCCAAATTTAAACATGCGAATCATCAGTGTGAATTCCATACCGGATTGGTCGACGCCTGGGTTAACAATGACCGCCACCAGTGCTGTTGACCTACAGGGTGCTGGCGGAAATTGGACTACTGTTGGTCAAAGAAGGAGAGGAGGTATAAGGATTCGTAGACAGAGAGAGAAGAGGAAAGGCAGGAGTATAGGTCTGAGAATAGGGACTCTTAACGTTGGCACAATGACAAGGAAAGGTAGAGAGCAGAGAAACTGTTTTATTATGGTCTGGATAGGAAGAGAAATGGGGTAGGAGTGATCCCGAAGGAGGAGCTCATGAGGAATGTTTTAGAGGTGAAGTGATCAGGGAGACAGGTGCTAGGTGTGTCATCTGGAAGTAGGAAAGAAGATAAGGAAACATGGTGGTGGAACGAGGAAGTATAGGACCGAATTCAGAGGAAGAGGCTAGCTAGAAAGAAGTGGGACATGTAAAGGAATGAAGACAGTAGATAGGATTACAAGAAATTGCATCGTAGAGTAAAGAGGGAGGTGGCAATGGCCAAACAGAAAGCATATGATGAGTTGTATGCCAGGTTAGACATGAGGGAAGGTGAGAAGGACTTGTACAGATTAGCGCGACAGAGAGATAGAGATGGGAAGAATGTGCAACAGATAAGGGCGATTAAAGGCAGAGATGGAAAGGTGCTAACAAATGAGGAGAGTGTGCAGAGAAGATGGAAGGAGTATTTTGATGAATGAGGAAAATGAGAGGGAAAGAAGGGGGGAAGAGGTGAATATTGTAGAGCAGGAAGTAGCAAGCCTCAGAGGGGTGGAGTGGTGTTTGTGTCCCTCTGTGTGAATGTGTGTGTGGGCCATTGATTGTGTGGGCACAGATAGTGGTTCATGTAATTTGGAAAGAATGATCGTGGCCTCCGTCTTGCAGTTTGCGTCATATTTTAGGTATTTTGTGGCGATTTAAAACACTTTTGTTAAGATGTGACTGTATACAATGCAGATGCATTTGGATGTTTCTGGGGAGTTAGATTCAAAGTGGAGAATAAGGGTCATCTTAACACTCTCTAGTCATTGTGTCACTTTGTGTTCATTTTTCGTGGTCGTGTTTACCATCATTCTTTTTATTTTGCGTGTCGTTGTGATCGTTTTGCATGTTTCATTTGTTGTAATTTTGAGTGTAGTCATTTGGCATATTTCTGCCTTTATGTTTAATCTTACCGTTTTGCACTTCCTTGGGGTTGTTTCGCAACTTTTTCGTCAGTGGTGCTTTTGTGTCTATTTGCATATCTCTCTCTCTCTCTTTAATCCATGGCCTGTATGACTGAATGGCAGAGAACAATGACAGCTGGTGGCACTGACTCTATTATAATCCTGAAGGAGGAGCAGGATGGAGGCATGTAATTGTGAAATCTCACCTTCAGTTTACGTCAACAACACGCCGACTCCACTCGAACACCATTGGTCACCTTTAGCTAAACACTACAATCCGATTGGCTCTTTCTGGCGTCGATTAACGGCGTTCCATTTCCGGGTTGTCGCTCTTAAACCCTCGGTTTTGGAAACGACTGATGCATCTTGTCATCACCCTGTATCATTCCAGCGGAATTTTATCCTACCACAAAACAAGAAAACCCGTAAGTGGGAATGTCTGTTGTATCACATGGTGTTTTGGAGACTATTAAACCTATGTAACACAGTTAACTCCGTGTTTTTGGTAGAGAGTCAAAAAGCGGAGCAATATCTGCGCGTTTTATTTTTGCTAGAGGCTGTATGATGATGAAGGAATAACCCCTCTTCCCCACCTGTTATAGCGAATCACATGCTAAGTTAATGTGTGCGTTCTGGTTATTTAAATCCAAAAAACAGCTAAATGTTGCCCACAACGCTAGCCTTTCACGTGAAAGTACATAGGCTAACTCGTCTTTTTTATATAACGTTACTGTTGCTGTTAAGATGAAAGTCGCTGTTGGTTTTCCACGAAGAGCAAACAGAGCTTAGATTTGAACCCATATCAAGATGTCAGTTTACAATGAATGTACTTCCTCCTGTGTGGTGATAGATAATGGCGTCATAAGTCATCATACAACCACATGCTGTTAAAACAAACCTGCTCCATACATTTGACATCACTACAAACAGGCATCCCAGTTATCATCTGTAAATGAATATAAAAAAACAAAACTGTCAATGGACTTTCTCCGTGTGATTTTTCAGCCCACACTACGGCCAGGAAACCCCCTCCCCCGCTGACTCATAATGAGTTTGCAGGCTGATGTAAGTTAGGGCATTCTGATTTCCCAGAATGAGGAGGGGGTGTCTCAGCATCATCCTGTGGAGGGAAAGTCTTTCAGTTTAACTCACATAGGCAGCTCAGTGGTTCAGTCATCAACTACATCCATCAATAAACTACTGTCATAAGGATTCATCGTGGGCTTCATAGATAACTGGAAAACATTTTGGGGAAAACCTGGTCTGATTAGTAGAGATGGCATCCATCCCACTTTGGGTGGTGCAGCTCTTTTATCTAGAAATCTGGACGAGTTTGTTTTACAACCTAAATTATGACAACCCAGAGTTGAGTCCAGGATGCAGGGTCGCAGTCTTACACGCCTCTCTGCTGTGTCCTTGCAGCTGCTACCCACCCTACGCTCCCAGTACCCCATAGAGACTGTGTCTGCCCCCCGCCCACCTAAATTATATAAATCAAGAATCAACTCCAGAGGAGTTATTCATAAGAACCTAATTAAAATTAAGATGACTCCTCTTATAGTAGAAAGTAATAGGACAATCAAATGTGGACTATTAAATATCAGATCTCTCTCATCTAAATCTCTGTTAGTGAATGATTTGATAAGTGAACATCACATTGACTTATTGTGTCTTACTGAAACATGGTTACAGCAGGAAGAATATGTCAGTCTAAATGAATCCACTCCACCTGGTCACAGTAACTGTCACATCCCTCGAAACACAGGCCGAGGTGGTGGCGTGGCAGCGATCTTTGACTCAAGCCTATTACTCAACCCTAGATCTAAACATAGTTATAACTCGCTTGAAAGAATCTCTCACACCCAAACTGGAAAACTCAAAAGCCTGTTCTATTTGTTATTGTATACCGTCCACCTGCTCCTTATTCAGAGTTTTTAAGTGAATTCTCAGACTTTGTCTGATTTAGTGCTTAGTACAGATAAAATAATCATAGTAGGCGACTTTAATATTCATGTAGATGCTGACAGTGACAGCCTCAACAATGCATTCTGTTCATTATTAGACTCAGTTGGCTTCTCTCAAACTGTAAATAAACCCACTCACTGTTTTAATCACACTCTTGATCTTGTTCTGACATATGGCATCGAAACTGAACACTTAATAGTTTTTCCCCATAACCCTCTTCTGTCTGACCATTTTCTAATAACTTTTGAATTTCCATTAATGGATTATACTCTATGTGGGAAACAATTCCACTACAGCAGATGTCTATCTGCCAATGCTGTTACCAAGTTTAAGGAAATAATTCCGTCTTTATCTACTTCAGTGCCGTTTGCCAACACAGTGGAAGGAGGCCACCTTAACTTTACTCCCACACAAATCGATAATCTTGTTGATAGTACTGCAGCCTTCCTGCGTAATACACTTGATACCATTGCCCCTCTGAAAAAGAAGGTAGTGAAACAGAGGAGGCTAGCCCCATGGTACAGCTCGCAGCTCCGCTCCCTAAAGCAGGCATCACGAAAAATGGAAAGGAGGTGGCGCTCCACTAAGTCAGAAGAGTTTTTTATAGCTTGGAAAGATAACATATAAAAAAAAAATACCTTCATAGTGCTAGAACCGCATTTTATTCATCACTGATAGAGGAAAATAAGAACAACCCCAGCCAAAAAACTTAGAAAAAAATCAACTGGACTAGGTTTTTTAGGTCAAAGACGTTTCACCTCTCATCCAAGAGGCTTCATCAGTTCTGCCCAACTGCCACTGAGTTGGAGATATTTATCCCCATCGGTGGTATGGACTTGTCTCCATACTTGTCCTCTTAGAGCTCAGTGTTGTTTTTGACACCATTGATCACAGCATCTTACTGCAGAGACTTGAACATGTTATTGGGATTAAATTAACTGCACTAAGTTGGTTCAAATCTTATTTTCTTATTTATCAGAAAGATTTCAATTTGTTCATGTTAATGATGAATCTTCCACACAAACTGAAGTTAGTCATGGCGTTCCACAGGGCTCTGTGTTAGGTCCAATTCTCTTCACTTTATACATGCTCCGTTTAGGCAATATTGCTATGCAGATAATACTCAGTTATATTTATTTATGAAGCCAAATGAATCAGATCAGCTGGTCAAACTTCAAGCATGTCTTAAAGACATAAAGGCCTGGATGACCTGTAACTTCTTACTTCTAAACTGACAAAACTGAAGTCATCTCTGAACATAATGCAGTCTAGTACACCACCACCTTTAACTATGACCTCAGTAATAAACATATAATTGAACTTATACATTTATGACAATTTCACCATAAACATTTTGAGCTTCATAAACACAGATGTTAAGGCAGAAGTGTTCCATTAAATTGCATACAGCTGTACCAAAGAAAGTGGCCAGTATCAGTCAGTTAAAATACAATCATTTAACAAGCTTTGTATGTGTGTCACAGAGACAATGTCTAAGCAGCATGCAGTGATCAAAACTTAAATATGCAGGTGTTTCTAGAATGAAATTCCTTCACATGACAATTGTACAAAAAATATATATTGATTGGTCCCAAAAGACTACAGAGATATCACTTTAAAAATGTTAAAGTAATAGATAAGAATCCACCACTTGAGCTTCAAAAGTAAGCAAGGAAGGCCTTAAAAAAGGCATGCAGTATAAAAAAAAATAATATCTTATCATTATGGCCCACAAAACTACTTTTCAAGACAAAAACATTGTTCATCCATCCAATAACATGTCATGGCAGGAAATGCAAATGATGCAACAGCATAACATGAATGAAACCAGTTCATGTTACACTTAATGCAACATTTTCAAACTAACAACAAAACTTATATTATTATTGCTTTTCAGTGGTCTTTGTGTTTTTGTCCTCATCTGTTGTCTACTGAGGGACTGATACAAATATATTATGTCAATACCCAAAGTAATTATGTTTACATTTTTGAATAACTCACCTTATGATGGAGAAATAATATTCCCAGCTACCTATAGATAAGGAATACCTCACATCTACCAATATTACAATTTCTAGAATTTTGTTAATATGTTCATGTTGTCTTCTACCAACAAACACCTGTTTCAGATTTAGATGATTATCCATCATTTTGCAAGCTGCTCAGACACATTTGAAGAAAACCTGGTAATAACAAAAAAAATGAAGGCACTATGATATGCAAAAACGTGTAAAGCTGTATCAGTTAACTCCAAACATAATTACCAGGTGAACTTAACCTCAATAAGCAGTCAAACCAATCTGCATTGTGTGTGCTTTATATCATGTGTTTCACCAGTGTAGTAACATATATGCACTCAGTGGCCTGGCATACTATAGAAAATATATCGCAAATCCTTTTTTTCTGCTACAGCAGGACTTCCTGTCTGAAATTTCAGCTCAGTGGCTTTCCAATGTCCACAGTAATGTTCACATAAAGAGGCAGCCTCTCTACCGATACAGTCTTATACGAGCAGCTGCTGAGTCCATCCTTTCTCCATACCTGTTGTGTTCGTCCTAACAAATGCATCCTGAAGAAAAGAAAAAATTTAAACAAGAGATTAAAAATATGCAGCACAAACCAGGATGCTTACAACTGAAAGATGCATAATGCATTATTCCCATCTGTACATTTACTGACCTGTCCTTGTTTAATTTATTACCACTGTCCCGTTTGTGAAACACCATGGTATAGCGAGCTATGTCAGCGGGCGGCCGCACAATCTTCATTTTATTGAGCTCAGCCCTGTGTGAGACAGGAACTGCATGTATCAGTGAATGAATGAAGGAATCGGCACCAGATCTGCTCCAAAGTAGTGAAAACATACACTTACAACCTTAAATACCGTTTTCGCTTGTCTCAGTCTCACCTGATGCGGAGGTCATCGTCCTCTCCACCCCACCCCCAGTAAGTGTTTGAGAATCCATTCACTTGATGAAACTGGTCTTTAGTCATGGCTGTAACTCCTCCAAAGTAGCCTTTGTAACGCAGCCTGACAGTGAAAGATTATGAGCAAAAACTGTTTCTTTGTTTAAAGATGACATTAGGCCTTTCAAAGTAATTTCAGGCCAGAGGAGACTACCATTCACAAGTAATGTGTAGTTCATTCCCATGGTTTTAACAGCTGACCTTTAACTTACAGAAATGTACTCTTGGTCATGTACTTACTTGTATCCTGTGACATTCCGGCCAACCACCAAGTGTTTGGGCTGCTTGTCACAGATGTATAAATTGTGATCGTTTTCCGGAACCAGGTCCACATCATGGAAGATGAAGCACTCCCAACTGAAGTCTTTCAGTGCCTCCAAATACCCAACATTCAGTAACTTGGCACGATTAAAGGTTGCATCACCAGCCTTAAAACAAAAGGAAAACAGAAAACCGATGTATACAAAGCTTAGTGGAGACATCTGTGTATCTGATGTGTCATTACAAACTAACACTTTTAATAGCTAGGAGGGTACAACTACAGGGTCAGCTACAGAACTGCTGCAATTGTGTAGGCCAGTTAATAAAAATACAACCTTGGGAAATAGTTATTGGATTTAAATTTAATTGCTGAAGTGTTATCATCACATTCAAGCTATTTTAGGAAACTACAATGTATATCAAATGATTCTTTCGTGGTTTAATATTTGTTTTCTATAAACAACAGCCATGAAAACCAGACAATGCCTCAGTATGAAACCAAATAACCAAAAAGGAATCAAAGCCTTTTACTAAATAATAAATTAGCATTTTTGTATGATTTTCCTTTTAACTTAAAGTGCCCCTGCTTTACATCTCTATTAAAATAGTAGACAGCCATCACCCAAGCATGTGCAAAAACTTGGCACGAATTGTCATTGGCACTGAATGACTGAACCGTTTGTACAATTGTAAAACAAACAAGGAAGAAGTAAACAGCAACACTTTTATGAAATAATACATGACTGCAACAGCTGGATCTTCTAAGTCACACTCAACAGTGGAAAAATCTGTATTTTACTACCCTCTAGGCAGGTTTAACTTTCTCTGCTTGACTGTAGTGTCGAGTGGTGGTCGGGTTCAGTGCCACTGGACCAGCTGCAGCGGGTGACAGGCATGAGTGCACAAACTGCTGCTTGGCGCAGTAGAACGAGGAGAAGATGACGCCTAACTACTCTAGGACAAGCTACATAAAGATGAGATTTGTGCTTTACTGGAGGTGTTTTTTTTTTTTAACATCATGCTTTGTTTTCCAAGAGAAAAGACTTAGGGTGGTTACTAAGTGGTTGGTTTTGCATTTATGCTCCCAGTTTGTTTGCCCATTTCCGTTAAAATTGTAGCACACAGTTGTGTCCCAACTGTTTCTGCGAAATGCACCCATGAGTGCCTCAGTCTTAAATGGGGCTAGTATTGCCTTCATCCGGCAGAATTTCTAAACTGTCATTTCCTTTCCGTCCATGTCATTTCTTGAAATGGGAAAACTGAAATGCCACACAACAGCTCTAAAAGTCATCAATGGAGCATGTCAGTTTCAAATTTTGTGACCTGAACACAGCTATACAAGTGAAATAACCACATGGAGTAACCTGGTAGATACATCACAGTCCCACAATGGTAACAAGAAATTTTTCTATTGCAATATCACAAAATTACAAATATCATTACATCCCTATTATCAACTGAAACTGAATGATCATATCAGGGGACACTGAAGTTGAAATAAATGTACAATCATATGAAAGCTGTGTGAAATAAAACTGTGCCTGACCAGTACCTGCTGGATGACATAAACAGCATAGTGTAGTTGCTGCCTTTGCAGAAAGGGGTGCAAGTGGCACAGGAGGTAGAGGAGGTGTCTCTCTCGGTTGCGATGAGGGATAAGGATCGCTACGCTCTGCCTCGCTGTACAGTCCGAGGGCTTATACTGGCCTTCAGTCACTCCTTTGTTCTCACTCTCCACATCCTTCAGTTTCATAGAGGATTCAAAGGTCAGGTTCACAGCTCCCTCTGTGGAAACAGTTCCCAAATTTAACCAGAAGTCTGAATTTTAGGTAATAACCACAATTTTAAGTGTGACCTATGACACAATAAGCAGAATAATTCATATGTGTTAGACTTAAATATAACCTGCACTTTGGTGTATACTTACTTAGCAACGGTGATTCCTGAGAGCATTTTGGTGGTGGTGTATTTAAATGATCAGGTGCTTCTGTCCAAGTGATGAGTTCATCCTTCAGACTGTCTTTTTTGACAAGAGCTTGTGTTGTGTCAGTGGGAACCTGAACGGATTTCAAGGTTTCACCTGAAAAAGTTGTAATCCAAGCCAGCAATGACAGCGAGAGAAGGAGCAGTACAAAACACTTCACCCTGCGCAAAACCCTGCAGACAGGTGAATGGAAGCCCATGATTGTTTGACTTTGCTAATGTTAAACAGTGAAAGTGGCAAGTGTGGACACAGGTAGTTTAAGATATTTCCTCCAGGCAGGTTATTTCATCAGAAATGAGTCATCCCATGGCAATGAAACATCCTGCTG